GTTGTCCCGCGGTGGGTGCGGGACCCGCTGCCCCGGGCACCTGCTGATGCGGGTTTTGATTTCTTGTAGCTAAAGGAGGAAGCAAAAAGGTTCTGGAAGAGGCAGCCACGGTGGGTACCCGGCTTAAACATCCAGCTTTTCTTATGCTTTGAGCACCTCTGCAGCACTTAAGGGTTCTTTGTTGGAAACAAAGGGTTTGGGGCCCGTAGGTTCCCTCCTGCTGCAGCCTCTGCTGTGAGACTGGACAGTCAGAGGTGCCTGTGGGATGCAGCATGGGATTCATGTTGTCATGAATCCCTGAGTGCACACACACTTTTCACCAAACTGAAGCATTTCTGGGCTGTTTGAGCTGCATGGTGGGGGTGAAGCAAACTCATAGCTGCCAGGTAAGACACATGAGTCCAGAAAGACACACAGAGTTCATGTGTTGTCAGGTCCAGAGAAGGCCCCAGTTTGAGCACAACAGGAGGTGTTTTTGCTTTAAAATATCTGGGGATTTGGTTGACAGTTTTGACTTTTCAGAACCTTGTGCTACTGAACCCTAATGATGTCATGACTGTTTTTAATTTTAGGCAGACTTGGAAATAAGAGAAATAAACAAGTTAACAGCAGAAGTTATCCGAACTCCTTTAAAAGTCCTCAAGAAAGGTCAGTTTGTTGTAAGCATTGTGATGAATTCAGTGAGCTGGGAGAACATCAGGGTTTACATGCTAAGAATAATAATTCGGTTCTTACTTAGATCCCTCAGTGGATGTAAAGACAGGAAAATAATCTTGTGTTTATCCCTACTAGCTGAAGTGGCTCTACTGAATTTTATTAAGTAATTCAAAGTAGTGCTGTGTCAACCATTTGGATTTCATTGGGGTTTGGGTTTCAGAAGCAAATTGTTGCCAAAAATGCTTGTAGTTATTGACTGTTCATCTCAGCTGTGAACTTAAAACGTAAGGTTCTTTGTTTTCAACTTAGATAACACTTTCTCTTTCTAGTGGAAAAATGCAAGCAGGTTGCTGAAGCTATTAAAGAAGAAGCAGGAGCTCCTTTGCTTCCTGTGGCAAAGAAAGCAAGACATGACAGCCAGTGCCCTTCAGAGCTGGGAGCTGAAAACCTTAATCCCAGGACTGCAAAGGTAAGTGGCTACTCCTGGTGACTTTATTCCCAAGATACAAATGTCTTTCTGTGATCATGCCTGTGATGATGTAGCTGTCCAGGATGCTTTGAGGGATACCTGAATTGTTTCCTGGAACATCTGGTGATGCTGCAAGGCTATTGAAGCTTGTTTGACATTTGCTTCTGGACTCTTGTGCTATAAGAAGGAGCCTGTTGAGCCAAACATCTTGTGTGGAAGCATCAGGTTGTTGTGGTCTCAGCTGTCAAACAAGAGCCAAGTAACTGATTTGGGGAGCAATGTGTGTTGCAGGGGAAGGCATCCAGTAGGAAGGTGCCAGTGTCCAGGAGCAGACCACCTCCTTCAGCCAGGGTGAAGCGCCTGAGCAAGAGGTGAGAGGGGTGGTTTTTTTCACTGGATTTCAGAAAGAGGGTGTTTAGTGAGAATGTAACTCTGACTGGAGTGTGGCTTAGTGGGCCACAGGAACATGGAGTTGTGCCATAGCACAGGAACAGATCAGTGGTCTGGCAGGGAATGAAAGATGGGCAACTTCATCTCCTGTGGCCCCTGGCTCTGGGGTTTGCCTTGGGTTAGAAGAGGCTCAGGTGTGATGTGGTGATGCCCTCATTCAAGTCTTTAAGACAGTGCTTGTACATTTGTTAAAATATTCTTAGGAGCAGATTTTTATGTATTTCCCTTTAACAGATCAAGCAGAAGCAAATTTATCACTCCAGCTACTGGTAGATTTGTCGATTTCTGTGCTCCAGGAGGCACCTCCATGGTCACACCCAAATTTGATTCCAGGTTTGTGTTCTGTTAAACATCTCTGCTCATCTCCTACATGGGGGAGTCCCTTGCCATTTGCTTTATTCCTGTATCCATCATCTACTTGTAACATAATCCTTAGTGGCTCTTTGAACCTGAAACGAAAGACTTTTCATTCGCAATGGAATCGTTTAGCTCTAACTGCTCATTCCAGCGTTTTCAAGACCCCGGGTCTGCGCACGCCCAAAGTGAACGAGCGTGTTTACACCATCTCTGCCAACGGGAGCCCCCTGGCTGACAGCAGCGATGCCTTCATCACCCTCCCCGTGGGAGGAGGGGAGGTATGTGCGAAGCTTTCATCCCTGAGTATGTGCTGAAGGGGGAGCTCGTAACCTGGGGGCCTTACCTCTCTCAAGTCACCTGCTCCTGTCCCTTGAGTGGTGTTGCTGCAGCTCCTCAGGGATTGATCTGGCTTAAAAAGAACCTTCAGAGGTTTTCAGTCAGGAGTGGGAGCTGTCCAAGCTGGTCACAGTAGAATGTTGTGCATTTAAAGTAGCTTCTGTGGAATTTGTGTTAATGTGCTGCAGGGAAGGTGTGAGATCAGCTGCTCCTCAAGTTGAATGTAGTTTTCTGTCTGTCCATGGTCCCTTATTATGCTTGGATTTTATTTACTTTTTTAATTACTACTTTTTGCTACTTCCACCTGCTACAGCTGACCAAACAGAAAACCTAAGATTTGGGTTTTTTTTTCCCCACAGAGCATTCGTTTAACAGCAAGTGATTTGACCAAGAACAATCTTCTTCATCTGAACCCACAGGCCCAAGGAGTTATGAAGCAGCTCTCAGTAAGTCTGTGACCTGTTGTCAGCCCTGACCTGGAGTTTTGAGGCAGAGTCCCTGGGAGTACTAATTAACTTCTCCTTTCTAGGCTCGTCTGGCACAGGCCTGCAGTGCAAGGACCCTCAGATGAAACTGGGTGAACGTTGACATCCCTCTGTAAATATACAAAGTGTTACACTTAATACTGCTACCTTTAGTTCTTCTTCTAATTTTGTCTTCCTTCCATTAATTTGCAGAATGGAAGTTAAGAATTAATTTTTCTACCTATAATATATAATGGGATTAGAATAAATTGTGGTTTTTTATTATACATTATTTCCTTTAAGGTTGAGACCAAGATATAGTTATCTTGGGCTTGCAGACCAGCAAGCTGGGGAAAGGCTGTTCTGATGTCTTGCAGAAGCCACGAGCAGTGGACACAAGTGACTGGAGTCCATCCATAGCTACCTGGGCAAGGAAAGCAACAGACCAAGTCTGTGGTGGTTCCTTCCAGGAATGTCCTCTCTCTGCAAAAGGTGGTGACTGTCTCAGCCATTGTGTTTGTACCTGGGTTTGAGAGTTGTGTAGTGAACTCATGCATTTTACTGTTTTTAAAGTAGTAAAAGATCTTAAGTACTTCAGCTGGTCTGTTGCTTAACTAGATGACTGGGAGCAACCTCAGAGCTATGAGAGTATCTTAATGTGAGAGAACTTTGCTTTTCCTTCACCCCCTTCAAAATCTCCAGGAGAAGCAGGACTCCTGGAACTGAGTATAGACAGGGGAGACAGAAAGCTTGGACTAGTCAAAGCATTGGTTTGCCCTTTCTTCTCACCTAAACTGAGTTGATTCCATTCATTTCTTTGAAGAGCCATTTCTTTGAACAGAATGAAAGCTTCCTCAATCATTAATGGCTTTTTCCCCTGTTGCTTATGGAAAACAGATAAATCTTGCTGTAGTCCAAATTCATAAAAATTCCACTTCAAATGTAGCCTTTTGGGAATGGGTTCCTGTATCAATAGTTACAAATGTCAGCAGGAGCACTCAGCTGGCTGAACACTTCCCTGCAAAATGAAGCAGAGGAGAGAAGTCTTAGATTTGCTTCCCTACAACTGTCTTGTTTTCAACAGCCTGGAAAAGGAGAGCTCTCTGAAGCAGTAGGTCTCTGGGGAAAGGCTGCATAAAGTCTTAAGCTGTAAAAGACTCTTCTCACTCAAAACCCAGGGTTTCATTTTTATTGTGAACCTTTGCAGCAGGTCCAGGAGGGGAGGAGCCCCTTGGCTCTGCTCAGCCCCCATTCCTGAAGCATCGTTCTGTATGGATCATACAAATCAAAGATGTAAGATGGCATCAGGGAGAGACAACCTGATGACACCAACATAAGAACCTTTTAATGGGCATGTTAAGACCATTCAGAGTAAAGAACTTTGCTTTTCTAACATGGTCTAAGGTTATTTTTTTCCCCAAAATCAAGCCTGTTTCTTTAACTGTTGCACTGTCCTTTCCAAAGACACCTTTTTGTCTTTGCTTTAAATGTCTTCGAAGTGGCTTATAAGCAAGAATGTTGAGACTTCAGGAAATGTTTAAGTTTGGGGAAATTCTGCTTTTGGCAAAAGCCAATCTTAGAGCATGATGAAGAAAGGCTGGAGAAGCTTCTCTCAGTGGTATGTATGGCTATAAATCTTAGATGCAGCATGTGGCATGGGAGCAAGTTTGCAGAACAGCATTCCTACAGGAATTTCCTTTAAAAAGCAAGCAGGTCACTAATGCAAGCCTCAACCATACACCATGTGTTTGGAAATTGGGATTTAAGAGGTTTTGGCAGCTTCTGACTCTGAACTGCAGGTGGCAATATTGTAAACTACTGAGCCACAAGTACACTTGCCTTGCTGCTGTTGAGTTCTGTTAACATATTAATTAAAAAACAGCTAAGCTGTAAATAAAGCTAACACACTTGGATACAGATGTGTAAGTCTAGATTCTGCTCTAAACATATCTTTACCAGGGGAAAAAAAAAAATAACTAGAATGGTTAGCTAGCCTAGAGGAGCTGTTGGTGCTGTCTGCTCTTAGGAGCTCCCTGCCAGCCTCTGCACTGGCATCCCTGCCACTCTGGTCTCCTCTTTAGTGCTAAGGTTTGGTGTTGTGATTTACTAAATCCAGGAATTAATGTTTTTGCTCGTGCTAGACAGCAGTCCTGTCTCTCTGGGATCATGAGATGCAGATCCCACTGGGCTGCTCCCCCAGGGCTCTCCAATGCAGACCTGGCAGCCCCAGCCCTGCACACCTGCCTGTGGCAGGGCCAAACCTTTGGTTCCAACTCTATTTATGTGCTGTACATCCCTGGTTCTTCTGGAAGGCCATATTCGGGATGTTATTTGGACTAATACTCTATTTATGCCTACCAAAAACAATTGCTTGTGAAATAAAGCTAAGCACCTGGAAGGAGCAGAGCCTGCAGGGTTGTGACTGCACGTGCCTGTCCCTGTGTGGGGTGGCTGTGGAGGCAGCACAGCAGGAGGTTCTCCTCTGCAGAGGTGCTGCCCAGGCAAGGCATTCCCAGGGCAGTGCAGACAGCAATGCTGCTCACAGTCAAGCTCCCTTTTCTAATTGTCAGTGAGTTAATTGTATCTGACATGAGTTAAAGCTCCCTGGCAGCTGATAGCTGAACAGATTCATCACCTCAATCCATTTTGTGTGCTGTCTGCACCACGTGCTCCTCTAGACCATGGGTAAGCATTTTTCTGCACTTTTATTGCTCATGTAAATCGTTGGCATCACTTCTAGCCCTTTTGCACAGCACAAGGCAGTTGTTTTGTTTGACAAAGCTTGAACCTCCCCCTTCAGTTCAAGGATTGCAGGGGCAACACAGGGGAGCTTGCTGACTTTTTTGTGGATTTGAGGAGGTTTTATTTATGTTGTTTGTGTGCTGGCCTGACTGTGGTCTGAACTGCTCTTTAAGCTGAGTGATGGGAAATGAAATGCAGCAGATTAACATAACTATTGTGTCAGGTTGGAAGAGGCTCTGTCTGTCCCTGGCCAGAGTAGTTCAGCTTATGGAAAGAGGCTGAAATTAGCTGGCATCTTCTGAGGGCTTTTATAGTGCTTTTTTATATCCACTACAGTGGATAACTTTTAACTGGGCAACTACAGCCTTGTAGGGAACACTTTCCTGCCCTCCTGGTTGGCTCAGGGCTTGGCCCTCTGGACAGGAGGTCCTGCTGTCAAAGGGAGGGTGCTCAGGAGCTGCAGGATTTGTGCTGCAGCTTTGCTCTGGGTGAGAGTTCAGCCCAGATTCATAATGGAAACATAAAATTATACATCTAGAGAAACAATGAGCAGAACAGGCACCCAGTGAGTTACCTTCCCCAGGATGTGCTGACATTGAACTCCCACAAAGGGACTGTGAGATAATGATCCTAATGGGTGGCTCTTCCAGGCGATTTGATAGATGTGCCCTCTCAAGCACTGTCAGAAATAGCTCTGGATACAAAGCAGGTGTTTATCATCATGGACACCTTGCAGGTGGTCACTGATTCGGTGACATTGCAAGAAATATATAGATAACAATTCCCTGCTTGCTGATAGAAGGGTTGATAATTTAGAATAAATTAGAGCTGTCTCCAGGCAACTTTTTCATGCAAGAGTTTTTGATTTGAAGGTGCAGGACATCACAGGCAGCTCCTCCACCTGACCTGTATAATACCACCAGAAATCCATGATTCCTGAGCCAAAGGCACCACAAGGGGACCTATTCCTTAACATCACTGAAAGGGGCATGGAGGAGTTTATAAGTCAGTTTTCTAGGTGGGCAACTGGGAGAACTGCAAATTCCAAGGTGAAATGTGTGTCTGGAGACCCCTGCTCTTTGGGTGAGTTCAGTTGAAGAGGCTGCACCTCCCAAGTTCTGTGTTCAGTTGCAGTGTCTGAAGGTAGCAGAAAAGATGTTCTACAAAAATTCATCCATCTATGGAATTTGGGTTGTTTTGAAAAATTTGCACACAAATGAGTGAGGTCAGGGAAATAAGAATATTCAAATAAGTATTTTGAAAAAAAAAGACATTTAATAGGACAAACTGAGTGTTCACAAACTGACTTTTCAGGAGTTCCAACATCTTGGTGAACTGGAGAGGGCTCTGGGGAGCAGTGAGACCTTCAGGTTCCTTGTGCCAAGTCTCTGGTGGGTGACAATTCCCTTCAGTAAGGACTCATCTTTTGGTGGCCTCTGGGTGGGGGCGGGTGGTTTCTGCACTCCCATCCCAGCTGAGTCTCCCTGCTGCCAGAGCACAGCTGGGACTGACACTGCTTGAACTTCCATCTTCCTTCCAGCAGTTCACAGCTGAGCAATGTGCAGTTTTTAATGAGGGAAAAAAATAATTCCATCTGGGAGATGAGTCTGGATCCCAGGTCTGCTGGCAGCTGCATTCCCACCTGGTCCATGGATCACCCCGTGCTCCCAGCCCTGCTCTGCTGCAGGGGGGACACTGGGAGCTGCTGGCAAGTGACAACAGGGGCAGGAGGAGCCCAGTGTGGTCCTTGGCATGGGGTTGGACTCCATCTCACACAGGTAAGTTCTCCCTGTGCTGAACAACTGCAAGTCCACTTGTGGAAAGAAGTAACAGGGCAGAGGTGAGCACAGGGGTTTCTGCAGCTGCTTCCCGTGGCTCATCAAGCCTCTCCTGTTCTTGCTGCTGCAAGGGATGCTCTGAGAGCAGAGTTACAAAACTGCCAGCACTGCTTGAAGTTCTTTAACTTCACTCTTTTTAATTTCCTGCCTTCTTTGTGAGATTCTTTTTTATGGGTTGGGTGTTTTTTTTAATGGAGAAAGATTTAACATTTAAGTAACCTGCTGTCCAGATCCTGGGGATGGAGCCAGAGGCTGATCTGCTGCCACAGCCCCGAGCTCTGCAAGTCCAGCTCCCCCCTGGCCCCAGGGCTGTGCCTGCAGGGTGGGGAAGCAGCATGATGAGCCCCTGTGAGCCCTTTCCTGAGACACATCAAGTGTTTCCTTCCACAGGAGGTGCCCACAAGGCAGCGCTGGAGTCTGTCAGGACACCAAGATCAGTGTATCCAATTTATTAATAGGTGGCAGCTTTCTTAAAGGTAGGGACTGTTCCACAGCTGTGCTGCAAGTCAGGTCCATATTGTCCAGTG